CTGCAGAGGTCATAAAGGGCTGTCACAGGGGTCACCAAAACCATCAGAAAACAATGTTGGTCTTGAGGGTTCTGTATGGGAAGTTTGGCCCAATTCTATCATTGGTGGGGTTCAGAATGCTCTTTGATTGTAGATGAACTATAAATCCCAGCAACTACAACTCCCAGATGTCAAGGTCTATTTTCCCCAAAGTCCATCTGTGTTCATATTTGGGCATAAGGAGTATCCGTGCCAAGTTTGATCCAGATCCATCATTGTTTGAGTCCACAGTGCTCTCTGGGTGTAGGTAAACGATAACTCCAAAACTCAAGGTCAATGCCCACCAACACCTTCTAGTGCTTTCAGTTGGAAGGTCTGTGTGCCAAGTTTGGTTCAATTCTATCGTTAGTGGAGTTCAGAATGCTCTTTGATTGTAGGTGAACTATAAATCCCAGCAACTACAACTCCCAAATGACAAAATCTATTTTTTGACTGATAGTCACTCATTCGGTTGTTAGGTGTATGCTGTCCAAATTTGGTGTCAATTCATCCAGTGGTTTTTGAGTTATGTTAATCCCACAAACGAACATTACATTTTTATTTATATAAATTAACTGTGTTTCAATAAATGTGTTTCAGCCAAACCCCAAATGGATGACTCCAACTGCCCAAGTAACCAGACCTGGCTAGAGGGGACCCTGCACTCACTGTCCTGTGAAGCCAATGGGACTCCTACCCCAGTGGTCTTCTGCACCAAAGAGGGAGCCACTGAAGAGTTGTACAGAGAGAGGAACATCAGCAGGAATGACTCCGGCATTTACCAGTGCAAAGCCACTAATGGTCATGGAACTGAGAAGAGGATGGTGAATGTGCAAGTGGAATGTGAGTTCTCATGATCCACACAAAGCCCCTTACTCAGGAAGGCCACTGCCATTTGGGACTGAGTTGGGGGGGGGTGTACCTCTGTAACACCCCAAATTTTCCCATTCCTGACTTGCTGCTAGGCAGGTTGCAGGCATGCCCACTAGGAGCCCTCCTTGATCAGTATGTCTCTTTCGTCTCCTCCTGACCTGCAAGAAATGAAAGAAGGAGGGATGTAAAGCATAGGAGAATTGAGAATCTATGCAGAACCAAGAACCCCTTTCATGCTCAGCCCAAAACCACTGTCTTGGTGCGGAGATACTTACCTACTGGCTCGCAGTCACCAACTAGTAACTCTTGCCTGTTATGCACATCTGCTGCTTGCAAACACCTGGGGAGATCCTCCTGAAGAAAATCTAATCTGAGCCTGAAGCTGCTAAGGGAAGCGTGTTACTAAAAAAACATTTGTATGAGCTTTTGAAATAGAAATAGAGCTCTTTACTGTGTCTCTTTTGTGTCTCTCCCTCTGGGAACAAATGTTCACAATTGCCATCAAGTTGGTTTTAATTTATGGGCACCCAATGAAAAAAGAGACTTCCAAAATGCTCTATCATCAACAGCCCTGCTCCTGTCCTGCAGTCTCAAGGCTTCCATAATTAAGTCTGTCCACCTCTAGTATGGCCTTCCTCTTTCCCTATTGTCTCTCACTACCATGCATCTTTTCCAATGACTCACATCATCTCATAATATGTCCAAAGTACAACAGTCTCAGAATAGTTATTCTGGAAGAATGACCAATAAATGGCTTCACATTTTGTTCTGAGCTAGCAAATTTTGACATGGCAATGTGTCAATTTGTGGTAGAGTTTGAAATCATGGGAATGAACAAAAAGAAAAAAAAGAAGACTTGCATAATAGCTAGTGATATCATAAAGAAAGCATTCTTATCATTATGTCTCACTCATGGATTCAGTCCAGACAGTCCAGACACCATTTTGGGGTGAGGGAAAGACATTGCCATCTGTAATCCACCACCACCACCACCACCATAGTTCTAATAATGAGGAGGTTCTTGTTGGGTTTCTTCAAATTATAAATGGAAAACACCCAAACAAATTTCTGATTATACCTTTCCATACCAGACCAGATGGAGATATTAGACACAACAAAAGGAAAGCCACAGAAGAACAAAGGAGGATGATGTGAGAGCAGGCTTTATCTGTTGTAAAACCCTGGTTGTGAAAAATCCTCTTTTGGATGCCAATTGGCACCAACATTAATGTCATTCTAATGCCAAGTAAAATCATTGGGTTTTGCTAGAGCTTTTGACCAAGTTGATCTCATCCAAAACTAGTTTTAAATTGATCCAACTGGTTTTGTACTGTTTTGTCAAAAATGTTTAATATGTTTTGAAACTATTTAGATTAGCTTTACTACTTTAAATAATTTAAATTGTATGCCAAGCTGAGATCCTTGTCTAAAAAATTCAAAGAAGGGAAACTACCAATCTCTAATTATCTATTTTGATAATAATACAAAAGAAAACAGAGTGGTAAGGATCCTCATCTTGCATTTTCGGCTGACTGAAGCCACCTCCTCTTCATCTTTTGTTTCCAGACAGGCCTATAATCTCCATTTTGGCTGTCAACGCTTCTTTGCCCATCAGAAGGGGAGAAAACTTCACCATTGCCTGCCATGCAGATGGTTACCCAGCTGTCAACTACACCTGGAAGGTACCTCAGGCCCCCAATCTCAACTATGTTGAAAATAACAGCACTCTGACTGTTATTGGAGCACATAGACAAAATAGTGGTGTGTACAAGTGCACAGCGAGCAACAAACACGGACAGCAGCACAGTCAGGTGGAAATCCATGTAGAAGGTAAGGTCACAAAGGGAGCCGTGTTTTGAAATTTATTTATTTGTTTATTTATTTATTTATTTACGGCCTTTATATGTCTCCCTTCTCACCCCGAAGGGGACTCAGAGTGGCTTACAAGATATATATTCATACAATATATCATATTATTAGCATAGCACAATATAATAATAATAATAATATTATAAAACTTTATTTGTACCCCGCTACCATCTCCCCAAGGAACTCAGTGCAGCTTACATGAGGCCAAGCCCACAATACATCAATAAACAAAACATCAATAAAACAATCAATATAATACAATTCATATAAATTACATAAACAAAAATAAGCAATAATCAACATACAGTGACATACAAGCATTTAAAACCAATGGCTGGGCCAAATGTAATAGATTAAAATTAAAAAAAATAATGCTGACATAGAATCATAGAATCAAAGAGTTGGAAGAGACCTCATGGGCCATCCAGTCCAACCCCCTGCCAAGAAGCAGGAAAATGAACAAGGTAGGATATAACTGGGATAGGATTTTCAAAGAGAATTAAGGGAACGCAGTTAGTCCTAAATCAGTGGTAAAGTGCATTTTGAGGGCATATTGCTGAGAGTTTTCCTTATTCTGGGAAGGCACACTGGAACAACCACGTTTTCAGGCTCCTCCTAAAGACTGCCAGAGTTGGGGCATGTCTGATATCCCTGGGAAGTGAGTTCCAGAGTCAGGGAGCCACCACCAAGAAGACCCTCTCCCTCGTCCCCACCAATCGTGCCTGCGAAGGAAGTGGAAGCGAGAGCAGGGCCTCTCCAGATGTGTGGGTTCGTACACAGAAATGCGGTCATGCAGATAGGCAGGTCCCAAACTGTTCAGGGCTTTGTAGGTAAGAACCTGCACCTTGAATTGGGATCGGAAAATGAACGGCAGCCAATGGAGCTCCTTAAACAAGAGGGCTGACTGCTCTCTGTAAGAAGCACCGATTAGTAACCTGGCTGCCGCCCGTTGTACCAATTGAAATTTCCGGACCATTTTCAAGGGCAGCCCCACGTAGAGTGCATTACAGTAATCCAATCTGGAGGTGACTAAGGCATGGACCACCCTGGCCAGATCCGACTTCACGAGGTATGGTCACAGCTGGCGCACGAGTCTTAATTGTGCAAAAGCCCTCCCAGCCACCACCAACACCTGAGCCTCAAACGTAAGTGATGGATCCAGGAGGACACCCAGACTGTGGACCTGTGACTTCAGGGGGAGTGCAACCCCGTCCATCACAGGTTGCCACCCTATACCCCGATCCGGCTTACGATCGAGAAGACCTGGTTATAAAAGCTATAAATAAATAAATAAATAAATATATGTTTAATCCGCGTTGCAAAACTATTCCCAGTTCTTATGTACAGATTCCTTACTTAAGCCAGAGAGCAGTTAACAATACTCTGTGTTCTCTTCCTCCATTACAGATCACTGGCTATATATTATTGTCGTCATAGCAATTGCTGGTGCCACCATGTTGGTCCTGGGAGGAATGGCCGGGGTCATTTACTACCTGAAGTCTACAGCCTGTAAAAAAGGAGAGTACAACGTGCGTGACGCAGAGAACTCAACTGAGGCCACTTGTCTAAATCGTGAAAGGCCTTGTGATGTTGACATCTACGGTATACAGCTCACCAGGACCTGAAAAAAAAACCCTGAGCTGGTATCCCTAGGCCTTGCTGGCCTAGAGACAGATACCACCTCTGCTTCTGAAAGATGGATGTTTGGACCATGCAGTCTTCTGTTTAACTGTGGAATTTGTTAGCAGCCGATTCATAGGCTTAGGATGCAGGGCAGACTTTTATGGCTACAGCTTTGAGTACTAGCCAGACCTTTACACAACACTTGCTCGGATGAGTCTCAAAGTCTCTCTTTTTGTCCAGGCTCCATGTTGCTTCTTCAGTTGGAACAGCAAAAATGTTGCACTTGGGCAGCGTAGTAGTATTTTGATGAAGATTCAATTTATACCTGTTAACGTCCAATTAGAACCATTTCGGCTTCACTCAACGTTTGCTTTCAAAAATCCCAGTTGACTGGTGCCTTGCCAAAGTCGGAAGTATCAACTTTGGGACACAGAATTGTGTGTAAGGAGCAGAATTTCCTGCTAAGATCAGACAAAGAATGTAATTTTAAAAACTGAATGGCAAGGAACTTTAAGAGAATGTTTTGAACTGACGGTTACTCATAGAGTAACTCTGAGAATTGGTCAACTGGATCAAGATACCATGGAGATATACTTAAAGTGGATTCGTGCAATTTTGTTCCATTTTGGTTTAACTGTGGTGCTAACTGAATTACACTACATGAAATTAAGTTTGCTGTTCTCTAAAATATGGCACAATGAACAGCCAAGCCAAACTATATGAATCCTGCGTAAACAGAGTTTTCCATTCATTTACTGTATATTCTGGCATATAAGACTACTTTTTAACCTAAGAAAATCTTCTCAAAAGTCAGGGGTCGTCTTATATGCGGGGGGTCGTGTTATCATCATTTCATCATCATTTAATAACTTATTAATCGCCCTCCATCCGAGAATGCTCTAGACGATTTACAGCTAAATTATAAAAGATAAAATGCATACATACAAAAATTAAAAATTAACAGAGATCGAATGCTCTAGTAAAAAGCCAGGTCTTAAGTGCGAGAGTAAAAGGCCCTAAGTCACGCATGGCTCTCATATAGGGCGGCAAGGAATTCCACAAGGCAGGGGCAGAAATAGAAAAAGCCCTGCGTCTGGTCCTTTCCAAGTGCACTTCTCTAGGACACGGTTTATGGAGTAAATCACGTTGGACTGGTCGTTGCAACCTCCAATGATGGGAGAAGGAGAGGCGGTCCCTAAGGTACGATGGACCCTGGCCGTAAAGAGTTTTAAAGGTCAGAACTAGCATCTTATACAGGCCACGGTACTCAGTTGGAAGCCAATGTAAATGTTGCAGCACTGGTGTTATATGGCATTTCATGGGCGTTCTTGTGAGTAACCTGGCTGCCGCATTCTGAACAATACGAAGCTTTCGGGTCGTAGACATCGGAAGGCCCACATACAGGGCGTTGCAATAGTCCAGCCTAGACGTGACCGTGGCATGGATGACAGTTGCCAGAGCCTCGTCGGATAGGTAGGGTGGCAGTTGCCTTGCTTGTCGTAGATGGAAAAAGGCCTGTTTGCTGGCAGCAGCGACCTGAGCTTCCATTGTCAGCTGTGAATCCAGGATGACACCTAAGCTCTTAACAGCAGTCGATGGAGATAGGGTGGCACCATCGAAGGTGAGTAATGGAGGAGTCAGACCTGCCGGGCGGCCATGCCAGAGAATCTCAGTCTTCGCCGGGTTCAGTCTGCTAGCATGTAGCCAGTTTGACAGAGCTTCCAGACATAGGGTGAAATTGTCTGGAATTGACGTTGCTCCAGGCTCCAGGTGCAGAAGGAGTTGGGTATCGTCTGCATATTGGTAGCAATCCAGGCCGAAACTCCGAGCCAAACTAGCAAGGGGTCTAACGTAGATGTTGAAGAGAAGAGGAGAGAGAATTGCACCTTGGGGGACCCCACATAGGAGGGGAGATCTATCGGAGACTTGATCCATGTACTCCACGCGTTGACTCCGGTTCTGGAGAAATGAGTTGAACCAATTGAGGGCCTGACCACGAACTCCGGACATGGCAAGACGGTGAATCATTAGATCACAGTCGACAGTGTCAAACGCTGTGGTAAGGTCAAGAAGTACACGGGAGTTGTCTTATACGCTGGAATAGCCTTATGCATGGGAGTCGTCTTATATTCGGGAGTAGTCTTATACGCGGGAGTAGTCTTATAGAGCGGGTGCTGAAACTTCCAATTTGGATTGGAGAATCAAAAATGGCAGTGGCCGCATCCCTGCCGTATGAACGACTGTATGAAAGCATTAAGAGTTTTGTTGACTTAATGTGGTCCTGATGGTGAGGTAAAGGGGCGCCTCACCAGGAAGGTGTAAGTGAAGGGCAGAGCAAGCTGCAGGCACCCGGGGTAAGGAAAAAAGATATAGAGTGACTCTAGGCCCAGAAAAACACACCTCTTTTACCTGTCTGGCCTACCTTTGTTATCCTATTACCGTACCTCCTCCTCTGCCTCTCAGATCTTGCTCCTGAAGACTGCAGTGAAGTGGTGCAGGTGCGCATGTGTGAGATCTGAGAGGCAGAGAAGGAGGTACAGTAAAAGGAAAATTACCATATTGAAATCAAATCTGATGCTTTTAAAAATTTTATTTGATGTGTGTTGGAAGAGGGGTAGTCTTATACGGCCATTTATATTCCAAACTCTATATTTTAACTGGAAAAGTTGGGGGTCGTCTTATACACCCAGTTGTCTTATATGGTGTAATATACGGTAGTTTGATTGGTTTGCCTGTGAGGTCCAAAGTTGACTTGTGTCCAACATTTTATGTTTGTTTCCCCCATCCTACCCCTAGTACCTTAGCATGCTTAAGGAAGCGCTTGTACATTTCGTGAATCTGCCAATATAGTCTCTTTTTAAAGGTAAAGTTAGATGAGGAGGAGAAGAAATCACAGATTTCATCTGGATCAAAAAAATCTGAGAACTCTGGGAACCAAGCAACTTTTCTAAATAAAATGGAAAGCAATGGAATTGAAGCAAAAGCAGGCAGGGGATGCATCCTCAGCACACATAAATCTTTCATCAAAACGGTTTTCAGCAAAGCAAACCCATTTTGAAATTTCCACAACTTCTCAGCCCATAGCATTAGAGAAGAAGGATACATTTGTTCTGAGCACACTGGGTACATAGAGAACACTCCCACAAGTCTGTAGAGATTTCAACAGTTCAAAATGAAGTTCAACAGTGACAAATGCAGGATATTCCACTTTGGCAGGAAAAACGAAATGCAAAGATACAAAATGGGGGGTGCCTGGCTCGAGAGCAGTACGTGTGAAAAAGATCTTGGAGTCCTCGTGGACAAAAAGTTAAACATGAGCCAACAATGTGATGTGGCGGCAAAAAAAGCCAATGGGATTTTGGCCTGCATCAATAGGAGCATAGTGTCTAGATCTAAGGAAGTAATGCTACCCCTCTATTCTGCTTTGGTTAGACCACACCTGGAATATTGTGTCCAATTCTGGGCACCACGATTCAAGAGAGATATTGACAAGCTGGAATGTGTCCAGAGGAGGGCGACTAAAATGATCAAGGGTCTGGAGAACAAGCCCTATGAGGAGCGGCTTAAGGAGCTGGGCATGTTTAGCCTGAAGAAGAGAAGGCTGAGAGGAGATATAATAGCCATGTATCAATATGTGAGAAGAAGCCACAGGGAGGAGGGAGCAAGCTTGTTTTCTGCTTCCTTGGAGACTAGGACGCGGAACAATGGCTTCAAACTACAAGAGAGGAGATTCCATCTGAACATGAGGAAGAACTTCCTGACTGTGAGAGCCGTTCAGCAGTGGAACTCTCTGCCCCGGAGTGTGGTGGAGGCTCCTTCTTTGGAAGCTTTTAAACAGAGGCTGGATGGCCATCTGTCAGGAGTGATTTGAATGCAATATTCCTGCTTCTTGGCAGGGGGTTGGACTGGACATGAGGTCTCTTCCAACTCTTTGATTCTATGATTCTATGTTTTACATTGACTACTTAGGCTACTTAGTCCCCAAACAGACATAGCATGTGTCCCTATGTGGACATACACATATAAACACACAACATTTTTAAGGGGGGAGGAGGAGTTTCACCACCTAGGATGATATCAGCTCATTGTGGAACGGCAGTGAGAATCTATAAACACAATGAAGAGATTAAGATTATTCTTTTTTCAAAACACCTACCACAGAAACATAGAGTTGAAAGGGGCTCCATGGGCCATTAAGTCCAATCTTCTGCTTAATATTCTCTCCAGATAAACAAATGTTGTCCAAACTCCACCCCTTTAGGTGCTTTGGACTTCAACTCCCAGAAGTCTCAGCTATTTTGAATAATAATTGGGAATTCTGGGGGATGAAGTCTACAGCTCTTTCTACACTGCCATATAAAATCCAGATTATCAGCTTTGATCTGGATTATATGGCAGTGTAAACTCATATAACTCGGTTCAAAGCAGATAATCTAGATCAGTGGTTCCCAACCTTTTTTGACCAGGGACCACTTGAACAGGGACCACTCTCCAACATTAGTAAGAAAAGGGTTACGAATCAGTTTTTGGCTAACTTTAGATTCAGTTTGGTTATTTGGGGTGCTGATTCAGAAAATTGCATTGGATAGACCACATCAGCTCTAGTTTCTGATACAGAACATATGCCATCCAGTAGTCGCCATCTGCTTACCCTCAAAAAAACATATTTAATACTCTAGAGCTGATGTGGTAGTAGTAATCTTTCATGGGTAGTCAGCCTCTTCCCTCCCGACATCCCTTTGGCCTCAGCACTATAAGAGGGTTTTGCAATACCAGTTACTGTTGTTGGTTTTGAGGCAACGATGTAGTAATGGTGAGGCAGTGGACCATATTTTGGTTCTTGCAGACCACTGGTGGTCCATGGACCACAGGTTGGGAACCACTTATCTAGATTATCTGATTTCATAATTTGGATTATATGGCAGTGTAGAATCACAGAATTATAGAAACATAGAGTTGGAAGAGACCTCATGGGCCATCCAGTCCAACCCCCTGCCAAGAAGCAGGAATATTGCATTCAAAGCACTGACAGATGGCCATCCATCCTCTGTTTAAAAGCTTCCAAAGAAGGAGCCTCCACCACACTCCAGGGCAGAGAGTTCCACTGCTGAATGGCTCTCACAGTCAGGAAGTTCTTCCTCATGTTCAGATGGAATCTCCTTTCTTGTAGTTTGAAGCCATTGTTCCGTGTCCTAGTCTCCAGGGAAGCAGAAAACAAGCTTGCTCCCTCCTCCCTGTGACTTCCTCTCACATATTTATACATGGCTATCATATCTCCTCTCAGCCTTCTCTTCTTCAGGCTAAACATGCTCAGCTCTTTAAGCCGCTCTTCATAGGGCTTGTTCTCCAGACCCTTGATCATTTTAGTCGCCCTCCTCTGGACACATTCCACTAGACAAATTCATAAAAGGCCGTTTTCCAATACACCTTAGCCACAATAGTCAAAATTAACCAGAAAATAGATTTTTTTTACTTCTAAATATAAAATACAATTGGGGCACTTGGTTTCTTTTGGGAGAAAAGGGAGATGCAGCATGACTTAATGAAATATATTTGAACAAGCCATGCCATCAATTTTCTGCCCCAATTTCTCCAGTCCTCACCACCGAAGAAATGCTCTGTATTTGGTAACCTATATTTCACAAGTAAAAATTCACTCCATCCCCCAAATCTAATAAAATGTTAACTTTTTGGAAGTATGTGCAGAAAAAAATGCTAGCCGCGATCTAACAGGAATACAAACAGACACTT